ACCCTTTTTCTTGTGTTCACTGATGAGCTGCACTTCATGCGTGTATATGTTATGAATTCGACTAACCCGAAACCGTTCGTCATCCCATCCCTTTCCTGAATCAGCACATGCCTGTAGCAACATTCGCAAAAGCCGGAGCGCTGGGCCTAGGTGGTATGTACGTACGCGAAGACGTTGGTGGTACCGGTTTGTCCCGTTTAGATACATCGGTGATCTTAGAGGCGCTCTCTATCGGGTGCATACCCACGGCTGCGTTTATCTCCATTCACAACATGGTCAACTGGATGATCGACACGTACGGAAACGAGGAGCAGAGGAATAAGTATTGCCCGAAGCTGTGTGAGATGGATCACTACCTGGCGTCCTATTGCCTCACGGTACGTTTTCTCAAGACAAGAGCGTATCCGTAAAGATCTGTGGAGCTCTATCACTCGACGGGAGGCGGGGGTTGGTTTTACGTATTCAGTGGTGGTAGTGTGAGTGTAATATATATATATATATATATATTGTGTATAAGAGCTGTGTGTTGGTCTGCGAAGACACATGCCTGAAGTCCATCTTGCACACCACAGCGATTCTTCTTAGTACTATGCAATGTATGTGTGGTCTTGGTAGAATGGGATGCGCCGGTTAGATGTATCTGTGGAATAGCCAGTCGAGCATGCATATAGGGTTATTACTTTCCATCAGTGTTGTCTCTGCTTTGCGTACCACATGGCGAAATGGTAGTGACAGAAGAGTGATATATCTATATATATATATATATATATATATCATGAGAAAGTAGTGCTCTGTACCCATGTATGTATACAAATCTATACATACCTGAAGGAATAGTTCTCTATGTATGTGTATACCAACAATCCTATACATACATACCGAGATGTGTACACTACGCCAACTGATTAGTAACACACCCTCTCTCTTACACCCACCAGGAGCCTAACAGTGGATCCGATGCCGCAGCCATGCGTACTACCTACCGAAAAGATGGTGACGAAATAGTGCTCAACGGAACGAAGGCGTTTATCAGTGGTGCCGGAATAAGCGATGTGTATGTCGTCATGTGTCGAAATAGTGAGGCTGCTCCCGGGGGCGCGGCTGGGGTCAGTGCGGTGATTGTGGAGAAGGGTACACCGGGCCTGAGTTTCGGTGGCAAGGAGAAGAAGATGGGATGGAACGCACAGGTGTGTGGGTGTATAATATGTATATGATTAACTTACTCAATGTATACGAATGCATATGTATGTATGTATTTGTATATAAGTTTATATATATATATAGATGAATACATATCTTTATATATAAGAATGTATACGTAAAAATCTTATATGGTATAGTTATATACGTACGTATTCCTAGATAGTTATAGTGTGTATACGTGACTATGATCCGGTTCTTGTTTGCCTATTCATATGTATATCAATGTTTCTTCATCTGCACCTGTTCGTTTTATGTGGACCATGCTACGCTTTTGACCCTATCCCCCCACAGCACTATAGTCACTCTCCCTATATCATGCTTACTCATCTCCATTCTCTCACTGCACACGTCTTAATTGTCTTCTAAACCCTAAACCCTAATTCACTCTTATATCAACAGGAAACTCGTAACTTAATCATGGAGGATGTTCGTATCCCTGCTGCTAATATCCTAGGCACTGAGGGCAAAGGCTTCTCCATTGCAATGAGTGGTCTCGATGGCGGTCGTGTCAACATCGCGTCGTGTTCGCTCGGAGGCTCATCAGCAGCCATTCAGCAGTCGCTTGGTGTGTGTGTTTAAAGGCTGGTGTTATACACGCGCGTGTGTGTGTGTACATTATTGCATTTTGCATATATACACACGTACGCGTGCTTTAAACATAATGTATTCGAATTCGAAGGGGAGGAATAGATGTGTTTAGTATAGTGAGTGTTCTCGATGGTGGCTGTGACGACTTTGCATCGTGTCCACTCAATTACCCAAACACGATGCGTATGTGTCTGTGTGTGATGTTCGGATTTACCACATGCACGCGTTGGTATACTTTAACTGTATATATATATATATATGGGGCACTATAGCGTATAAACAGTTTAGTATACATCCACTCGCGCACAAACAACATACTTCCACACACGCTCCGAACCAAATACTTATCGTCATACCATCACAACCTACACTCCCCTATATCCTTATCATACCACGTGGATAGTTCACTGACATGTGCATTCTTTGGGCGTTATCTGCAATGGATTGCATTTTCTGTAGTCCCCCACAAACCCCTTACCGTCCGAGTCTATCACCACCCACTACAGACTACACCCAGGATCGTACTGCGTTCGGCAAGTCTGTCGCTTCATTCCAAAACGCACAGTTTAAAATGGCGGATATGGCTGTTCAACTGCATGCCTCACGGTTGGCGGTGAGACACGCAGCACAGGCCATAGACAACAACGATCCACTCAAGACACAGTTCTGTGCTATGGCGAAGGTGTTTGCTACGGAGGCTGGTAGGTGGTCACTTGGAATACGTGTTGGGTTTTTGAGTTGAGTGGTGGTGTGGTTGGTTGTGGTGTAAGTAATCGGTGTCACGCATCTCCGTGTCAGACTTAGCCACGTGGCTAGTTCACTGACGTGTGCATTCTAAGGGCGTTATCTGTAATGCATTGCATTTTCTGTAGTCCCCCGTGTGTGCGCACCCTCTGTGTGTACTGTAGGGTTTTTAGAGTTGTGGCCTCTGCGCTTAGTCAGTAGAATGCCTGGTTGTTGTTCGTGTTTTAGTTCGACTAGAGACACGCATTAATTTATGTCAAGGTGTGTATATCCACCACTCAATCTGTATCTTGCGTTTTGGCCGTAGGTACCAAGATCTGCAACGAAGCCCTGCAACTGCACGGTGGTTACGGATACTTAAACGACTATCCCGTAGAACGTTTTCTGCGAGATGTGCGTGTTCATGAAATCCTCGAGGGCACCAGTGAGGTTATGAGGATGATTGTGAGCCGGCACTTGCTGAGTGCTAAGTAAGCAGTGAAGATAGGAACCGGGGCTGCCTAGCAACGGGTTTAACGTCTAAGTAAGCAGTGAAGATAGGAACTGAGGTTACTTAGCAACGGGTTTAACAAATAGTACAATTCAATTTTAGTAAAGTCAATTTCTGGCACCATGGTCGGTTGATAATAGTATTCAAATGAATGCCATAGTCAGTTGATACTGCCGTAGTCAGGTGATAAGGGTATTAAGAAGAGTAGTCAGTGGACAGTGGTATTAAGAATATGAGTGTGTATACAGAAAATTCTCATACGTTAGCTCAAGCAGGCGTTCAACTGAGGAACCGTCGAGGTCACAAGCGAGGGTATGAGCATGATTGGCTGTTGGCACGTGTTGAGTGCTTAGGCGCAGTTGAATCATAGCGCGAGTTTAACTTGCCCATTTCTATTTTGAGTTAGGTGGTGGTCGGTCATAGTATTAGTAAATATGAGGAGTATGTACTTACATATTAAGATCTGTGTCGAATAAGGGAAACTTCTGACTGAATGGTTGTCGAGAGGATGTATACTATGCCGATAGTTATGTGCTGCCACTGGCCCGAGTATTATCAATAGCTGCGATCCCAATCCGATAGCTTTTTCGAGTGTTTTCAGCTTTCAGTATACTTAAGTTTTGTACTGTGAAAGTCTACCTCATTTGGGTTGCATTTTGGTTTGCTGATGTTTTTAGGATGGGATTCTCAAACTAATTGTCCTTTGAGTGTTCCTAACTATCTAATGGTTCTTTGAGTGTTTCCATGATATTTAGCTTCAGAATAGCTCAGTTTTGATTTAGATAATTGTACGCTATGCCATTATCCGGTTTCACTTATTTCAATTCCAGGCAACCTGCAAATGTACCGTCTTTGTGCTGTAGTATAAAATGATACATTCTCTTTTGTGTTGCTGTATAGTGAATAAAGATTTTATTTCCGATTCATCAGCCCTCAATAGCTCAACGGGACAATATATACAGAATGTATCATCGGATACAATTGAGTGTACAGGCAAGGCTGTACGCTTGAAAACATGCGGCTCTCTGTGTTTGTATATTGGCGGATGGTTTTTCTAATGTGATATTTAGCTAAATTGAATCATTGATGGAATTATAATATGACTTGTTTTCACTATTAGTTCTCTTGGTTTTTTTATTCAGCGTTCATATATCTAAATTACATGTCTTGACTACGAAGTGAGTGATGATGTGACGTTTGTGAAATACGTACAGACAGAAACCTTTAAACGTTTACATGTGCAGACAGTCACGTCTGTGTGCTTACTCGTTAACTAATCACTAAACCTACGTGGGGTAAAGCATCTTTGCCAGCAAACGATGCTGAAAGCGACATGGATGGGAAAGGTGGTGTCAGGTTTGGGTGCGAGTAGAAGGCGAAAAGGATGAGAGACAGATTAATAACTGTCTATCGTCTTTTCATAGTACAGCCTTTAGAGTTGTACGATAAAAGAACGTGGATTGGGGCATTTGGTTTGTACTGATTTATTTCCTACTAGAGGTGGTTAATTCTGTGACACACGATTTGTGTAAACACTGCCTGGATCTGTGTTCCATAATGATATTTAGAATAATATTGTGATATAGAATACCTTTATTTGTCTCCTTTTATTAAAATATGTACACTGGGGTTTCAAGGCAGATAAATCGTCCTTAGGGTCAACCGAAAGCATACTCCGTTGTGAGTATAGGGGTAGCCGTGGAGCTAAATGAGGGGGTCGATTCTTGGCTGTAATCGGGGTAACTGTATTTGGGCAGTTTAGTAGCTGTACACAACCCAGCACCGTGCAATGGGTACACACGCCTGCATATATCCACATGCTCATCGTGTACGTTTATTATATGTATCGAGCATTCTTCGTACATTATGCATATATCGAGACAATGAAGGTGCTGTTGTATATATGCTCAAGTGCTACAAGTTCCCGAGCAGTGACTATCATAATCGCACGTGTTATTTTGATAGCTATTCGCTTATCAACACAGATCAGAGATACCACAATCATCTCACAAAAAAAGGTACCATGACCCATATTCCTGAGTCATCATGTTTGCACCCACCGGTCTTACGCAAGTGTACGTGCAGGTCCAGGCTCGGCCCTGACTGTGCTGATCCGGGTGCAGCCTATACCCCATGGCATAAGTGTCTCTATTAGAGGTATAGGTGTGGCTGCCCATGACCAGGTTGCCATTGTCGCCTGTTATGTGACCTGGCTCACAAAGACCATATGTAGGAATGTCCAAACTCCAAAGTCGTCATTTCAGCACGCTAAACCGCCTATAGTCTTATATTTACCTCTGAAGGTATTTGCTCTCTAAAGAAATACGTATATTTACTTAAATATATATAAATATCCTTTTTTTGGGTTTATTGTGTTTTATATAAAAACAAAACTTGTTCAAAATGTTTTTTTATTTTAAAAATAAAGCAATTAGTTCGGAGCATAGCCTTCTATTTAAATTAAACATTCGGAGTTGGTCGTTTAGGAGTTGGTTGAAAATAGCACAACTATTTATGAATAAATATGTATTTACATACTTGTCCTGTTTTTGTTTAGTTTTTTTTAAAAACAAACCCCAAACACTAATAGAAAATTCAAACACAAAACTACATCAGAATAAAACGTACTTGGGTACAGATATCTGTCATATTTGGACACTGGACATTTAAATACAATTTATAATGGTAGCTGCTTAAGTTCAGTCATTTGCCTGGCTTATGCATGCAATATTCATATCAGTGTACCCTGGCAAAGTATTTCAAAGAATAGGCTGATCTAGCCCAATATAAGGTATGTCACTTGTCACTTCTAAGTATAATATATATTTATATATATATATAAATATATATATATATATGTATATATATATATATAATATATATATATATATATATATATATATATATATATATATATATATATATATATATATATATATATATATATATATATATATATNTAGTGTGTGTGTGTGTGTGTGTGT